GTGATTCTTGCCTCCAGCTCTTAGGCCTCCGTGGCTGAAAGTAGGTTTCTGGCCTTTGCTTACAATGTTGCAATCCTGCTGGCTGAAGTCCGGCGGTATATGTTACATAGTTTCTTAAACTGCAGGCTCAGAGGCCTGTAGCCGCAGGCAGGGAACGTTGGTTTCCTCCGTCACTGAGGCAAGCAAGCCTCATGTTAGTTTCAAGCTGCCTGGCTGCCGGCCGCCATCTTGGCTGTCAGTTAATTTGCATATCTCACCGATTAGCCAATGAAAAGGGTCGCAGTCATACGCCAGTTACCATGTTTCTCCTTTATTAGTGTAGAAGATAAGATTATTGTCTCCTGTTTCTCTGGAAAGCCCTGGGGGAGGGGGGAAAGCTCAGGATTGGGTTCAGTCTGGATCTGTGTCTCACCTTTGCCACTGATAACTGAGACCTAGGGCAAGCAACATCCCCTCTCTAGACCCCTGAGCCGTCATCTCTAAACTCCATTCACCCCAGCTCCCACTCTGAGAATCCAACATAGCTAAAGTCTATTTCCAAAGGATCTGAAAACCACACTGTCCTCCTGAAGTCACCACGTCACTCCGACCTTCCTGCAGGCTGCCTTGAGGAAGCTCACCGGGCTCGGGAGCTCATCCGTGAAGTCCCCCCAAGGAGTGGCCCCCATGCCCACCCCATGCTCTCGGGAATCCATTTAAGAGGCCGAGAAACTTCCATTTGTGTTCACGGTGACTGCAGATGGGGCTGCTCAAACCACGTCCCTCGCAGCAAGCACACGGCCAACTTCTTGTCTGAAATGCCGTCCTCCCTCTCCTCCTGTAAAGCTGATGTTTCAGTGTTCACATTTGGGGCAAGTGAGGAATAACCCTTTATCGGTAAGTATTCCCTGCTGGCTTTCTGGGGGCTGTGTAGGGATCAGAGCTCCTCCCGCGATAAGCAGCACATCCCACGGTTGAACACTTGAACAGAGAACAAGGACCCACGCCTGGCCTTGCGGGGTGTTCAAAGGTGAACCCTCTCACCGCCCAAGTCCCGGAGCCCAGGGCAGCTGCTGTCCCCACCCGCACCTGTATTTGATGTCAAATACTGTGGAGTCTTCATCCTCATCGTCTTCTTCATTCAGCGGGGCCATTTCCACGCGCTCAGCCGGGGTGGTGATGATGTCATACTTGCGAGTCTTCTTCAACCTCTTTCCGGACCTGAAAGAGAGGCACAATCCTGAGGACTCCACCATCCCCCGAGGCAAACCGCGCACTGTCCCCAGCCTGGGTTCCAGGGCCTGGGGAATCCCCCGGCTCCTGCGCTTTCAGCCATGGGACCTCGGGCATGTTCCTGACCTCAGTAACCTTTGTGGTTCTCACCCACAAAACAGAGATGATTAAAGCTGCCCTGAGCACTGGAAAACCCAGGAACCAAGAGAAATAATAGAAAATCCATGATGCACAGAAAACAAAAATGTTCAATGAGGGCAGGATCCAGCTCTGTACTTGCACGGGCATGATGCACCCCATCCCCTCCCTCCTCATCCCCTGCGCGGCCCTGTGGCAATGGGTGGTCATTGCTCCAAGCACAAGGGGCGCAAGCTGGCATTGAGAGCACTGCCCTGGGGGCCATCACGTGGGATCTGGGTCAGGGCCTGGCCACTTCCTACCTGTGTGGGCATGGGCAAGTGAGTTCATCTCCCTAAGCCTCATAAATAAAATGCGGTACGAATAATGTGTGTCCCTCACAGGCGAAGAGGGATGAAGTGAGATGATGCATGTAACAGGCCTACACACAGGAGACTCTTAGCAAAACGACTGTTGGTAAACATAACCAGCAAACAGAAGTGCTACCGCCTCTCCTGGATGGCCAGGACTTGTAAAAATGAGTCCGTATTGTCTCCATCAGGAAGATTTATGAGGCTGCTGGGTTACAGCACTAAGCTTTTACCTCTGAAATAACAGAGGACCACTGCGGGCCAGAGGGGAGGCGCGGAGACAAGGCCCGCGTTCTCCAGCGTCAGGCTCTCTGCGTGAAGGAAGCCACGTTTACGGGGAATGGCTGAGCGCCCATGATGCCACTGGGAATACTGCTGCTGTTACGACTGCTGATGGCTTTTGCATTCATTTCTCAGTCACTATCTGGACTCTCCCAAATGCCTTGCCTTCTCTGTGCCCCTCCCTTTGCAAGTAGAGTCGCTATGGCCCCCTTGCCACAATTCTTCTCCCCTGGAACAAGGTCTCATTACGCCAGGAGGCCTCAACAAAGTGATGGCGACTGGCGGTTTTCAGTAAGTGTCCTCGCTGCCTTCACGGGAGCAGGCCAGACCAGCGATGTTCTAGAAGAGACCAAGGGTCCTTCCAGTGCAGCCAAAGCACACATTTCTAACAAGTCAGGGGAGAGGTTCAACATTCTTTGACTCTGAAATGCAATCCTAAAGCTGGGGGAGGGGAGGGGGGGGTGTTGTTTACTCAAAGGCCCATTCAACAGCTGGTCAGCAGCAGGTTCCCCAGGAGGCTGGCAGGCACCCCACGCAGACAGAGGCGGAGGGAGCTCCGCTCCGCTGACCAACTGGAGAGAGGCCTTCCTTCCTCAGGGCTGTGACTAGAAGTTCAATTTGGAGGTATGGTGGTCAGATCCACAGACGTGCCGGCATGTCTAGGGATCAGGGTTCAGATCTCGGCTCTGCAATTCCTTTGTCTGAGCAAGTCACTCACCCCGATGTCTATCCAACAGGGCTCCGGCCACAGCTCCCTGAACACAGGTGTCTGTGACCTTCCAGGTGCCCCCAGCAGTGTCACCAGCGTCACCACCCCTCCTCCCTGTTCTGCAGCTGCCCCTCCGCACCCTGCTGGGGCCCCTCCACTCCAACACCCAATCAAGCGACATGACCCCCACAAACCCCAGAGCCCCAGAAGCACAGAAACCAGTGAAGCGGGCCTGGTGTGGCATAAACATTAGAACAAACACGGTGACGTTGGCCATCTGGCAGCCAACTCTCTGTCTCGGGGCCAAGAGACACAAGCCCAGCCGCCGCACCTGGCTGTCACATGGGGCAGAGGCCCAGCGTTTCCAGATATTTCCACTTGACAGGAAAAGCAGGAGACTCCCGATATCTAAGCGTTCTCAGCTACCCGGTTAAAGTCACTGTGCAGATCCGAACAGAACCATAAACACTTACCAGTGGGCCATCAGTTTGCAGCTTCTGACTCCGCTCCCTGGCCACGGTGTACTGGTCACGCGTGCCAAGCGTGAGTGACATTGAATAATTCAGCTAAAACCATGAGGCCGGAGAGATGGGCTGGTTCACAAGTTCAGGCAAGGTTCCCGCCGCTAATTATACAACCAGGGTGCTTCCCTCCCCTCGTGGGCACTGTCTGTCCCCTCAGGATTAATAAAGTGCTACCTCGTTGATTGAGCCCAGCACCTGCGTCTAGCACACAACACACAGTGTGTCCAGTAGGATCACACAACACAGGCCAGGCAGCCACACAAAGCTCAATTACAATGCACTGTAGGGCTTTCCTCCATAACGCGGCCGCCTCCATCTGCTCCCCACACTGGTTTCTCGTTCCCTCTCTCAGTGCCTGAGGCCGGACCCCCTCTCGTTCTTCTAAGGTGAAATGGTCACCCCGGGTTTGACCTGTCTGAGGAGCCCCAGGAGATGTGGCAACAGCAATGCCCCGAGACCTGTTCCTCCAGCTCTCAAGTGTGTTTGCCAAGGGCTGGCCTACTTGGTTCTATGTGCGGTGCCAGCGGAGGAAAGCCAGGCTTGGAGCCAGGAAGGCAGCCTCTAGGGGCAGCGGCAAGATGACCAGGAGACTCTTTGGTGGCCCCCGGGGACCCAACACAGCCTGGAAACTGTGGTGTCACCGTGCTGTGGGGCACACGGCATAAGGGATCCGTTCGGCATCTACTTGTCCCTGGCACAGGTCAGTTCTTGCCACTACTACCCCCACTTCAGGGATGGTTACTTCTCGAAAGGAGCTCCCAAACTGTCCACCTCAAGCCCAGATGTCCAGCTGCCTAGCTCGCTTTTCCCCGCAATTCAAATCTTAGTCAAACCACCAAAAATGACCTCCTTAAAAAAGAAATGGCCTCCTGATGTCAAACAAACTCCACAGTCCCTCTCAAAGTCACAGAAAGGGACTGAGTCTTCCAACCATGGCTCTTCCCAAAGCTCCAATTTATTAAAATAATATCAATATGCGAATGCGCAATAACGGAAAACACTTCAGAATGGCAACTTTCCCCAAATCCTAACAGTATTAAGCTTTTAAATTTTCTCTTGACTTCTCTTATTTTGTTTTGACTTATCTTCACTGTTGAAAGTATTACAGCTGTCCCTTTTTCTTCCCCCACTGACTCTCTCCACCCCGCACCTGCTCCACCCCCAGGCCTTCACCACACTATTGTCTGTGCCCAGGGGCTCTGCATATATGCATATATTAACTCTTATTCTTATTACAAATGTCAGTACACAGACAACCTGGGGAAAGTTTGGGGATTCCAGGCTAAGTAAGAAAGTTTTCGTTCCTTTTCAGAGACCTGGCTGAGTGAAACGACTAGGTTTCCGCGCTTCCGACATCTGCAGGACACGGTGGCGTGCATCTTTGCCACCGACGCCTGTGCGACAGCTGGGCAATGTCAGATCGGCGAGAATTTATGTTCCTTTCCATTCGCCAGGAAGCACCAAAACAAACCCTCCTTTCGGATCAGAGATTTTTACAGAGCTTTTGAAATAAGAGGTGGCTGGGCATGGAGCCAACAGAGATCTGGGAGAAACGTGGCGGGAGCAGGAGAGCTGGGAGGCTCGCCAAGGCGGGGAAAGGTTTCCCAGGAGGAAAGGAAAGTTGTGGTGTCAGGTTTCTGACTTGTCTCCACCTTCTCTGTAAGACACGGGAAAGTTGAGTTCCATCCCCGCAGATCTCAAAGGGTAAAGTCAGACCTAAGACGCCAAAGGTACTGAGAACAGCGGCCACTGGTGTATGTGCTGTTCCTGAATCCATGCTACCCCAGCAGATGCTCTGACATAAAAAACCAGAGGGATCAGCCCTGGCCAGTGTTGCTCAGTAGTTAGAACGCTGGCCCGTGCACTGAAGAAAGTTTTCTACTTACTAGACACAGCTTCTTAGTTGCTTCCCTTCCAGCTCTCAGAAGCAAGTCAAATAACAACATGAGGGTTGGGGGGAACAGCTTCTCTGTGAACTGGGCAGAACTGCATGTACAAAACACACACGTACACACACACACACACACACACACACCCGTACTCTGGCCAGAGGGCACACTGCCTTCAAACTGCTGTCCCTTCTTCCAATTTTGTCTCATCTTAACATAGCTTTCCTGAATTGATTAAAATACATGAAAAAGGTATAAATGATTCTGCAGATGGATTAATAACTATGGGGAGAGATGAGATGGCTACTCAACCTCAACAGAAAACGCAAAACAAAGCAACGAGATACCAAATCACACTCATTTTGTTGGAAAACCTTAGCAAGTTTGATAATACTAATGTGTTGAACATGATGGGAGAACCTGAGACCCCACCCACAGGCATTGCAGATGGGAGGGTAAAATAATATAGACTCAAGCGTATCAAGTATGTGTACCCCCAGACCTGGAAATCCCACTCATGGGTGTACACCCCGATGCTCTTGTACAAGTCCTCAGGGGGACACGTCCAAGGATGCAGCAGGGAGCTGAGTGTACAGACAGGGGGAGAAATAACGAATAGATGTCCACTTTAAGGAAATTCAGGCAATGTAGAAATGTATCATGAATGATAAAGATGTCATAAACAATCTATACATTCACGTGTAGAATGCATCCATGTACATAGATTTTTTTGGCACATTCACATAAATAATTTACTTAAATGAGCTCATACTAAACATGTGGTGTATAACCTGTTCCATTTAACAGTATATAGTATTATAGCAACACCATCATTTTTAACAGCCATATAGTATTCCAGTGTAAGGATTACCGTAATTCCTTTAACCAATGCCCAACTGTTGCAAACTGAGATCTATTTAAACCTTTTGCCATCAAACACAACTGCTCTGAATTCCATTGCCCGTGCATCCTTGCGTCCTCTCCTAATAATACATTTAGAAGCAAAGACTCTGTATCACAGTGAAAAATGTGTGTGCCTTAGGAATGGGATTGCTTGGCTAAAGATTTTTTTCCCACTGCAATACACATTCTTTGCTTCTAATTTTAACAGTTTCCTTGGATCCACATTTTTTCTGTTGTCTGGCAAAGTGACTCCTTCAGGGAAAACAGATAAATAGGCCAGGACTGCCACTTTATAAAGAAAAACACTGCACCCTTCCCCCCTTATCTACATCTTTAAGAAAAGGAAGGGCCACCATTCAAACCAATTCCTACCTCACCGGTTTCATGCATCTAGTTAGAGAGGACATTTTGAGAGTCATCAGCAAGTGTAAACTACTTAGAAGGTCAACATTCATTTGCTAAAAATATCTTTATTAGATGGCAGCTTGTGCCTGAAAAACACTGCACCCTTCCCCCCTTATCTACATCTTTAAGAAAAGGAAGGGCCACCATTCAAACCAATTCCTACCTCACCGGTTTCGGCATCAGCCATGCATCTAGTTAGAGAGGACATTTTGAGAATCATCAGCAAGTGTAAACTACTTAGAAGTTCAACATTCATTTGCTAAAAATATCTTTATTAGATGGCAGCTTGTGCCTGGAGCCACAGTAGGGGTTAGAGAGACAACGGATGAAGGCCCAGCCCTGCTCTCGGGAGCCCTC